AGAGAGAGAGAGAGAGAGAGAGAGAGAGAGAGAGAGAGAGAGAGAGAGAGAGAGAGGGTATCAGCGAGTGTTGCTGTGCGCCACGGCGTAGCCGTGGCGGGGTCCACTTGTTATCATAACAGGTGCGAACCTTCCCTCGTAAACCACACCATAAGATCTTTCCTGCATCTTGCAGCTATCGTTGAAGTTGTCCGTTGCAGCCTGCTACTCCGCAAAGGAGAACTCCAAGAGGCATTCGTAGACGTCCTCTTTTTCCCGATTCCCGGTCCGCTGCAGTCCAAGACACTTCTCTAGCGTTTGCCATGCACTGCACTCCCTCTGCAACCTTCGCTCCAATTCGTGAATTTTGACCGTCGAGCTCTCAATTTGTTCTGTCAACGCCGATCTCTCCACTGTTAGACCAGCTACCTCCGCCCTCCGCGTCTAATTCTTGAATTCTAAACACGGATTTCTTAAATCTCCCTTCCAATATTGACCTCTCAGCATCCAGCTGCTCGATCCTGTGGGCACTGATTTGCTCTCGCTCTCTTTGTGCTCTGATCCAGATTGCTCATATCTTCCCCTCAGGTCCTCCCTCTCTGCTGCCAGATTACTTACCTCGCTCTTAAGCTGTCTTATCTTCTCTTCATGCGATTGCTCATTTTCCTCATGCACCGATGATGTGGACCTCTCCAACGTCTCGTTCGATTCCGCCTTCTCTGCCATCAGATCGCTAACCTCCTTCTCGAGCGCCTTGATCCTCTCTGCATCATGATGTGTCCGCTCATCATTTTCATACTCCGATGATCTGGATCGCTCACATCCCTTTGCCCATATGCCTCCCCCTTTCCCATCCGATTGCTCAATAGCCTCTCATTCTCGGCGTGTTTCAGCCTCTCCTTGTGCATTTGCACCTTTTGTTCATCGTATGTTTCATATCGCTCCGGTCTCACTTGCAGGACCTCTCTCTCCGCTTTCAGATTGCATTTCCGAGTTACTACCCCCTCGTTCTCAAGAAGATGATTTAGCGACAGAGTGTCTTCCTGCATCTGCGTTCGCCATCCGATTGCTCAATAGCCTCTCATTCTCGGCGTGTTTCAGCCTCTCCTTGTGCATTTGCACCTTTTGTTCATCGTCTGTTTCATATCGCTCTGGTCTCACTTGCAGGACCTCTCTCTCCGCTTTCAGATTGCATATCCGAGTTACTACCCCCTCGTTCTCAAGAAGATGATTTAGCGACAGAGTGTCTTCCTGCATCTGCGTTCGCTTGTTTTCTTGATGCAGCTCTGATCTGGGTCGCTTGGACCTCTCTCTCACAAGTCTCAGCGCCTCCTCCTTCGGTAGTGTGTGGTGCAAAACAGCCTCCAGATTGCAGACCTCGTTCGCACACATACGTTTGTTTGTTTCATGATGCTTTGATCCGGATGACGATGATCATCTCTCGTTCAGCACTTCCCTCTCTCTCACCATTGCGCTGCTCACCTGAGTGCCAAACAGCTTGACAGTACCTCCATCCCTCTGCTCCTCTTTTGCATTTCCTGATCCAGACGGTTCAGATCTCTCTTCCAGCATTAGCATCTCGGCCATCCAGGCGGTTGCATCAGTCTCGAGCTCGCTTACTGTGTTTGCTGATTCAGAGTACAGACATATTTCGTCGCCCACCGCCACAGCTTCCTCCATCCGATGATCAGCCACGTCAGGCTCAAACCGCAGAATTCTCCCATTGCCCATCCCCTTAGAATGATCAGGCTCTGATCCTGACCGCCCCGATCTCTCTTTCCTTGCGCCCATACCCACCACCGTCAGATTTCTTGCCTCAGCCTCGAGAGGCGGCTGTAGTACCCTTTCTGACTTGATGTTCTCCTCCTTTTGTTCGTGCACTGCCACTTTGGATTCTGGGGTGCTTATCTCCACCTCTGCGGTATTTCTCCCATAACCGTCTCCTGCTCGTCTTGATTTTCTTATCAGGGTGAAACATGCTGTCATCTGCCTGCATGATGAGGAATGTTCCTTCGCCTCCCAGGAGAAGCTCATTATAATTTCTACAGACAGCCATGCTCATGAGCTTCTTCACAGCAGTACGATATGTTACCACTAGTTTATAGTTTGACTTGTTCCAGACCCATAAGGTTCCGTCCTCGGATGCACTGACCATATATGGCCACCGAGGATGGAACAGGGCAACTGCATTATAACATTTTGCCGCATGGACTCCTTGCTCAAGCACAACAACACATGCTTTGCTCTTGTAATCCCAGATCTGCACTTCGCCATGGTTGTTACCGGGGATGAGAAGTGACTTTTGCCGGTCACTGTCGAATTGTAAAGAAGTTATGAACACTTTTCCGGCTTGGGCAGTTTGGAGAGCAGACCACTCTCCATTGTCGAAGAGCCTGATCTCGCCGCTGCAGCTGCCAGTTGCAAAACTGTGTGATTGCCTAGGATGGAATGACAGCTGGGTTATGCTGCTGGTCAATGAGGATAGGTTCTGGACAAGACTGGTGCAGGTCCAACATGTAGATGGAGAGCATCCCTGTAGTCAAGATGTATTGCGAACTCGGACTCATGGCCAGCAGATACGAACTCAATGGCCCAATGGGTTAACAACTTAACATCCAGCTGGCCGGGCCTGGATGATTTCCTCTCGATTCGCACATACTTAACCTTGTGCACTGCCCACATCTCTGAGTCAAGGTTTTGCGTCTTTATCCTGATGAGTTGATAGATAATGATTCTGTAACCCCATACTGTGAAATAGTTCACCACCACCCCGTCATTCTTGCCTACGAATTTCGCAGCCAAATAGCTCGATCTCCACTGCACCACAGCTTTGCCTTCAGATCGCCATCTTTATAGCTCCATATTTGAAGGAACCTCTGACGACGTATGAAAAGAAACCATGGCTTGCAATGGTGGACATCGATATCGAGCCAATAGTCCCCTAAATTTGATTCCCACAATCTCGTGGTCAGCTCGAGCTCCCCGACTCCATCCGAGAATTTCATAGTAGTTGCTACTCTGCCGTGATGTCCCACATCTCCTCAAAGATCGACTGAACAGCCACACTTTTCTTCAGCCTGTTCTGGTGCACTACAGCACACACACACACGATAGTGACTCCGCTTTCAATTATTAGTATAGGCTGGGCCGCCGCCCGGCCGGGCATGCCCGGCCGGTTGGGCCCTGGCCGGTTGGGCCCAGGGGGGTCTGCCCGGCAAAACCGGGCGACGCAAAAACACAGCAAGGAAATTTTTTTTTTTTTTTTTTGAAGGCGGGGTTGTGCTGCGCTACCCTAGAGGACCACGAATCTGCAATAAAAAAGTTAAGTTGGGGGGGGGGGGACCTGTCTCTTATACACATCTAGATGTGTATAAGAGACAGCCTATATACTGAACGCCAAGTGAGACGCTTCGTCCGCACGGTACTTCCGCCCCTAACGGGCACTTCCACGAGCTACTACGGCTACGGCTGGACTG